ACAATCATTTATACTCATAATGAGCAGCCACCAGTGTTTTTGGTTTTTTTAGTTTTTACTCCCAGTCATAAAACTTTTTTTATTCTTTATGCAATCCAAGGAATTTAGCACAAGATAAATATACACACCACTTCTAAGAATATTGCAGGGGGAGAACCTGTCCGTTCAAGTCTCACAAAAATAAGTAATTTATCAATAAACCATCTGATCAGATGTATAATGTGCATAGCATGGTCCGACATTATTTGCCTTGTTTCATCCGTCGAGTTATGCAGTTGTACTGATTGTGGTTTGCATATAATGTGACTCTGTGACAGTACTTATGCATTTCATTTTTGTTCTTTCTTGAAATTGATCCTTATACCAGAGACGTAATATATAAATCTCTGCTTATACATTTCCCCGTTATCTCGCCTGGGGACACTGTTGTTAAACTGTCATCTACAACAAATGAAAATCTACATACTAACTTCAGGTACCCCTTGTCCACCTGCTGACATCCCTTTGATGTCATACCTGTACACATGTATATAGGTGTGTATTTGGCCTCCTGCTGTCAGTACTCGAAACGGGTGTTTAGTGTTATTTACCTGTACACAAATTTAACACCTAAGTATGCTAAGTGAGTGGTCGAGATGACTTTCATTATTTAATCAAGATGCTAAATTATAACTTGTGTATGCTTCATGTATAGGGAGAAACAAAAATAGTTCAATCTCATAATTCAATTATATTTTCGAGATAAATGTAATCACGAAATTAGATTATATAAGTCCGTGATCTTATTTAGCAGCACATGCATAGGTACTGTATTGTATACTATTAAATGTGTAGCTGTCGGTATTTTGGTGTTTATTTTAATTGTCGATCTAACATAAAAAAGACACAACGTTGTCGATTTGTCATTACTACAAATCAGGACATGCTGTGTTACCCTATTTAGAGTCGTCGGTTTGGTTTCAATTTAACTCACTGTCTGGAAATTCAGGCAAGTTTTATATGACTGGATACCATCTACATAATGTTATCTTCAGCATAATCTGATTCCTAAAAAGCAAAACAAAATATTAATTCGCCATAGGACGCTGTTTGACTATGGCTGTTCTCGATATCGCCTATTCCTTTGACGGTGACCGCTACAAGCGTTGAACTTGTGACGCCACAGACAATATGGGCCAATTCACCCCAAGTTACGATTATGCTAATTAGTAGAAGATGGACAGGTGAAAATTCTACACTTTACACGTCGATATCGCAGTATCGGGATGACGGATTTTAATGCTGTTTTCGACATTTTTGTGTTTGGATAATACAGAATAATATTATATTCATTTCTATTTTCGTTCAGGGTACACTTTAAGCAAAATATTTGACACAACTCTTAAAGACATTTTATCTGGCAAATTTAGAAATAAAATGGAAGACATACATGATACCATTGACCAAAATACCAAATACTTTTTTTTCAAAATTGTACGTGCCTTCCTTTGATTAGTTAACTGTTATCGGGTAACCTTGATTTCAATCTCTCTTGACAGTTGTATATTTTATACAGGCAAAGGGGTTGTGTTAACGATTGTATTGGTCAGATGTGAAAATAAATACAAGAGCGTACACACAATATACGTTGTTTAAGAATTCACAAAAATCACAGAATGTCACAAAATAGTTTTCTCCTAGTTGAGGTGGAAATGTTTCTATAGGAAAATTCTACCGTTAAGAATTCAAAACTATAGAATTGACTATTCTCTTTACTGGAAAACCCCTCTAAATATAACATGAACGAAGTACATACAAAACTTTACTCATAATTTGTAATCGTTGAACAAATGGAAGTTTTAAAGAAAGTCTTGATAAAGAACCAGCTGAATAAGGTGGTCTGCAAAGGAAACAGGCTTCTGCTTTATCGACGACATCCAAAAACAAAAGTTCAAGCATAAGTCTTGTCATTTAATAGGCACGTAACTAATATAGTGTAATAAGCCCAGATGTTGTTGTTGTTGTATATTGTTTATTGTGTACAGGTGTAGCGTGCTGCCAGTATGGTAGTGCGCTTGGAAGTCGACAAAAAACATGCATTCTCTTAGGACTTTTATACCTTCCTGGGACTCATGGCATCTATGGCATACTGACCACGGGTATGACTACGGTTAAGCATGTACTGTCTTAGGATATTGTCAATAATATGTGTAATGATAAATGTTTTACTAGGACATTACATATGTATGGTTCACTTCGTCCCTTTGTCATAAATTATTTCGAATTAGACATAATTTGGCATCATATATGAAATCATACAGCTAGTTTCAAACGTCGCGTTAACACGCTTGTGTGAGGCCTTTTCGCATGCATGCTGTGCATTTTCTGGCAAATTTTCAACAATCCTACCTTTCCTTTCTGATAATTGTATTGGTGTTTGTATGATAATGAATGAGTATGTGTGTCTTTATATATATGTTTGTGTTATGTCAGGTTATGTATATATATTGTAACTGTATTGTATACTAATGTAAAAATTAAAAAAAAAAAAAAAACTAATATAATATTGAAATATATCGAACTGATTATGTCTATCTTAAGCAAAATTTGGAATGTATTCGGTGAAAATTAGATAGATAAAGCAAGAGTTTTCCCGTGGTATTGCTCTAGATTTTTACTTTGTTCTTTTACATACCTAGCAAGTTAAAAACAATGATATAACAGTCACAGACTTTCAAAATACAGGTCAATCCTGTTAAGTGAATGTCATTTCAATATGGAAATGTTTGGAATGGTGACTTTGAAGTATTTTTGCTGTTGACATTATAATAAAGCCATTAGTCCATACAGGAGATTCTAAAATTTGCTGTGGACATGGAGATCACTTAGCTTCCGATTGGTTTACTGGTTTTGACATTTCTTAACATCAATGACCTCAAAAAGTAACTAATATTTATCAAACTTTAAAGGTCTTCGTCCTAGTAAGCTAAAGGTAAAAAGTCATCCTACTTCCTTTGGCTATTAACAAGAACTTTATTTAATAAATAAAAACTGACCTTGAATGTGGGTCAAGGTTATTTATTTGATTAAACATGGTAGTCTTTCACCCGAGCATACTTCTTGCCAGGTATCACCATCCTGGGCCTTTCCATTGCAAAGAAGCTGTTCTAATTTTTCAACATTCTACTGGTGCAATGCCGTTAGCCTTAGTCTGTTGTTTATTCAATAGAACTTGTCTGAAGAATGTATGAACATTTGACCCTTCTGACCTTTGATATGGGTGGAGGTAATTCATTTGACTAAACTTGGAAGCCCTTCATCCCAGCATGTTACCTGGCCAAATATCATCACCCTTGGCCTATTTTTTATTTAAAAGGGTAATTAAGAGATTTCAACATATTCAACCCCTGTGACCTTGAATAAAGATGAAACTCATTCACTTGAACAAAATTGCTAGGCGTTCATTCCAATATTTTAAAAGCCAAATATCACCACCCTAGACGTGTTGGTTATTTTGAAAAATATATTTTAGAGATTTTAACATATTCAACCCATGTGACCTTGACCATGGGTAAAGGTCATTCATATGAACAAACTTTATAACCATTCACCCTAATATTCTAAAGCCAAAATATTACCGCCTTTGTCCTTTTTGTTTTTGAAAAGAAGTTGTTAAAGATTTAAAAAAAATGTTACCCCTGTGACCTTGAATACTAGTCAAGATCATTCATGTGAATAAACTTGGCAGCCCTTCAACCAAGCATTCTACTTGCCTGATATCAACATTCTGGACCTTATGGTTATTCAGAGCATCAAAGCATGCTACTGATCAAATCTTAACATTTTAGATCCTTATTCAAAAGAAGACATTTAAGTTTTTTAAACATATTTGACCCCTGTGACCTTGAATTTCAGTCAAGGTATTCATTTGAACAAACTTGGTAATCCTTCATACCAGCATTTTATTGGCCAAATATATTTGCCTTGAGTCTTTCAGTTATTAAGAAAAAGATGTTTGAGAGTTTTTTAAGATGATTGACCCCTGTGACATTGAATATAAATCAAGGTCATTCTTTTGAACAAACTTTGTAGCCTTTCATCCCAGCATGCCATTGAGTATATATCATCATCCTTGGCCTTTTGGTTATTAAGAAGCTGTTAAACGATTTAAACTTATTTTTTTAAATATAAATAATAAATAAATGGATGTTTCCAATTTAATGAACGATTTCCGATAAAGCCCTCCAGTGTTCTTGGAATAATTACACAATTTTAAATTCAACAAAAAAAATTATGAGATTGTGGTTAATTTTTTAATCATATATGCGATTATTAACTGAAATGAAAATTCTACGCTTTATTCCAATAAAAATAACATATTTCATATGAATGGTTTGCATTCCAAGACATCTTATTAAATAACGCATATTTAATATTTAATCTTCAAGCGAAACAAGTACATGGCTTTAAATTCATGAAAGAAACGAAAAGATTGCTAATAATTATTTGCTAATAAATGGGGTTATTTACTGAAATGAAACTTGTTTTATCTGCAGAATCAACGACTGAGGGAAGAGCAGGAAGCAGAGGTATACGAATTTGTATTTACGCTTTATCTCAATAAAACCAACGAATTTTAAATGCATGGTTTGCATTCAAATGTGTCTTATTAAATAACGTAGTATTTAATTGTTCTTTATTCAAGTGAAACAAGTACATGTCTTTAGATTTCATGAAAAATAGAAGAGACTGTTATTAATTCTTTGCTTATACATGCGGTTATTAATTGATATGAACATTGTTTTATATGCAGATACGAATTTGCATCTACGCTTTATCTCAATAAATATATGCATGGTTTGCATTCCAGGGTGTCTTATTAAATAACGTAGTATTTAATTGTTCTTTATTTAAATGAAACAAGTACATGCCTTTAAATTCAATGAAAGAAAAGAAGAGATTGTTGATAATTCTTTGCTACTATATGGGGTATTTACTGAATTGAAAATTGTTTTATATGCAGAATCAACGACTGAGGGAAGAGCAGGCACAGGTATACGAATTTGTATTTACTCTTTATCTCAATAAAACTAACGAATTTTATATGTATAGTTTGCATTCCAAGGTGTCTTATTAAATAACGTTGTATTTAATTGTTCTTTATTTAAATGAAACAAGTACATGCCTTTAAATTCAATGAAGGGAAAAGAAGAGATTGTTAATAATTATTTGCTACTATATGGGGTTATTTACTGAAATGAAAATTGTTTTATATGCAGAATCAACGACTGAGGGAAGAGCAGGAAGCAGAGGTATACGAGTTTACATCTACGCTTTATCTCAATAAAAATAACGAATTGTATATGTATAGTTTGCATTCAAATGTGTCTTATTAAATAACGTAGTATTTAATTGTTCTTTATTCAAATGAAACAGTACATGCCTTTAAATTCAATGAAATAAAAGAAGAGATTGTTGAGAATTCTTTGCTACTATATGGGGTTATTTACTGAAATGAAAATTGTTTTATTTGCAGAATCAACGACTGAGGGAAGTGCAGGCAGAGGTATACGAGTTTGTATTTACGCTTTATCTCAATAACACTAACGAATTGTATATGCCTGGTTTGCATTCAACTGTGTCTTATTAAATAACGTAGTATTTAATTGTTCTTTATCGAAGTAAAACAAGTTCATGCCTTTAGATTTCATGAAAAATAGAAGAGATTGTTATTAATTCTTTGCTTATACATGCGGTTATTAATTTATATGAAAATTGTTTTATATGCAGATACGAATTTGCATCTACGCTTTATCTCAATAAATATATGCAAGAATTGCATTCCAGGGTGTCTTATTAAATAACGTAGTATTTAATTGTTCTTTATTTAAATGAAACAAGTACATGCCTTCAAATTCATTGAAAGTAAAGAAGAGATTGTTGATAATTATTTGCTAATATATGGGGTTATTTACTGAAATGAAAATTGTTTTATATGCAGAATCAACGACTGAGGGAAGAGCAGGCACAGGTATACGAATTTGTATTTACGCTTTATCTAAATAAAACTAACGAATTTTATATGCATAGGTTGCATCCCAAGGTGTCTGATTAAATAACGTAGTATTTAACTGTTCTTTATTCAAGCGAAACAGGTACTTGCCTTCAAATTCAATGAAAGAAAAGAAGAGATTGTTGATAATTCTTTGCTAATATATGGGGTTATTTACTAAAATGAAAATTGTTTTATATGCAGAATCAACGACTGAGGGAAGTGCAGGCAGAGGTATACGAGTTTGTATTTATGCTTTATCTCAATAAAACTAACGAATTGTATATGCATGGTTTGCATTCAACTGTGTCTTATTAAATAACGTAGTATTTAATTNCACGAATTGTATATGCATCGTTTGCATTCAAATGTGTCTTATTAAATAACGTAGTATTTAATTGTTCTTTATTCAAGTGAAACAAGTACATGCCTTTAGATTTCATGAAAGAAAAGAAGAGATTGTTATTTATTCTTTGCTTATACATGCGGTAATTAATTGATATGAAAATTGTTTTATATGCAGATACGAATTTGCATCTACGCTTTATCTCAATAAAACTAACGAATTGTATATGCCTGGTTTGCATTCTAAGGTGTCTTATTAAATAACGTAGTGTTTAATTGTTCTTTATTCAAGTGAAACAAGTACATGCCTTTAAATTCATTGAAAGAAAAGAAGAGATTGTTAATTATTCTTTGCTAATGTATGGGGTTATTTACTGAAATGAAAATTGTTTTATCTGCAGAATCAACGACTGAGGGAAGAGCAGGAAGCAGAGGTATACGAATTTGTATTTACGCTTTATCTCAATAAATCTTACGAATTGTATATGCCTGGTTTGCATTCTAAGGTGTCTTATTAAATAACGTAGTGTTTAATTGTTCTTTATTCAAGTGAAACAAGTACATGCCTTTAAATTCATTGAAAGAAAAGAAGAGATTGTTAATTATTCTTTGCTAATGTATGGGGTTATTTACTGAAATGAAAATTGTTTTATATGCAGAATCAACGACTAAGGGAAGAGCAGGCACAGGTATACGAATTTGTATCTACGCTTTATCTCAATAAAACTAACGAATTGTATATGCATGGTTTGCGTTCCAAGGTGTCTTATTAAATAACGTAGTATTTAATTGTTCTTTATTCAAATGAAACAAGTACATGTCTTTAGATTTAATGAAAAAAATGAAGAAATTGTCAATAATTCTGTACTGATATATGCGGTTATTAACTGAAATGAAAATTGTTTTATCTGCAGATTCAAGGACTGAGGCAAGAGATGGAAACAGAGGTATACGCATTTACATCTACACTTTATCTCAATAAAACTAACGAATTTTATATACATTGTTTGCATTTAAATATGTCTTATTAAATAACGAAGTATTTCATTGTATTTTATTCAAATGAAACAAGTACATGTCTTTAAATTCCATGAAAGAAAAGAAGAGTTTGTTATTAATTATTTACTGGTATATACAATTATTAACTGAAATGAAAATTGTTTTATCTGCAGATTCAACGACTGAGGCAAGATCAGAAAACAGAGGTATACGATTTACATTTACGCATTTTTGCAATATAACAAAAGCAAATCGTATCTACAATTTGGAATCAATGTGTATGCCTTTAAATTCAACGGAGGGAAAACAAGAGATTGCTTTTAATTTACTTATTTATGCTGTAATGATTTAAACTGAAAACGCTGTTCAAAAACTGAAGCAAGAGCGTTAAGCACAGGTATTCGACTTTGCATCTACACTTTGTTCCAATATAATCAATTAATTCCATATATTCAGTGTAGATTAATTTTTTTTTTATAATTGTCTAAAGGTATAAGAGTCCATGCAGACTAGGGAGCATCTTCACAAAATGTCTTACGATAAATTGTACTCGTTAGAAAAAACTAAAGTGAAAAATTCAGCGGAAGTTTACGATAGCATCGTTCCCTCTCTTAAGTGTAAAATATCATATTAAGTGTAAATATCCATGATGATTTCCATTGTAAGTTAGAACTAACATGACTGCTGCGTTTGGTTTGAACATGAGTTAAAAATGTACACCTTTGAGAATGCATGCATGACCTGTATTAAACTTTTAAACGTTCTGATATAAATTTTTGACAAAACGGAGTCAACTGCATATTAGAAAATACAAAGAGAACATATGTCTGTGTGTTCGTTTTTTGCTACGAATGGTCAAAGATACCAATTTAACATGATATGCGGGTTTTTTTTAATGAACAAATACTAATTGTTTCACCAATTAGGCAGATCGATTGCTTGGGATAAACAAGTTTTGCTGATTTTATTTTTAATATTTAAGGAATCAAAGGAAAACGGTTTCTTATTCTGAAACCTGAAACAGCCTCAAAAATGAGGGTGGATGAGAAGAGGGGGGGGGGGGGGGGGGTTCTGTTGTGTCCCACTAGTATATGTGTAAATTTTCACCTTTTTTGGGGTCAAAAATCAATGTGCTTCAGTTGCACTAAACATGTTAAAGGAAATACCCTTTATTTTGTAATGAATTATTATCTCGTTTTATCGTTATAACGAATTGTTATTTCATTTTATCGGATTATCATTTCTTTATATCGAAATGTAATTTCGTTATTACGAGTTATTATTCCGTTATAACGAATTATAATTTCGTTTTTCGAATTATTATTGGGTTTAAGGTCACTTGAGAGGAAATTCTAGTTGACTTGTTGTGATCTTTCTTCCGGCGTCGTTGGTCGTGCGTCTGGCGTCGTCCTGCCGTAACATAACTATAATTTGATAACCTAACCACAATGTTTCCAAGCCTCTTCTAAAGTAAATCCATCTAAACCTTTGCTTTTGTTATTTTTCATGTTTCTCAGGTTTTGAGATACACACCCTGGACCGTTTTTCTTTACCAAAAGTGCGTTGCGTTTCCGTTGCGTTTCCGTTTCCGTTGCGTTTGCGTTGAGTTTCCGTTGCGTTTCCGTTGCGTTTGCGTTGCGTTTGCGTTGACCGTTTGTTGTGCGTTTTAACTTTAGCGTTGAAACGATGGATGTGCATGTTATTTTAAGAATATGTGAGTGCTGAAATGTTTTTATATAAAAAAATAGTTATATGGATAATAAAGTTTTGCAAATTAAAAACAAAATAAGTATACAAATAAATTAGATAAATACGTGAAATAATTGGTCGAAAGTTTAGCAATAATTTATATTTATATTCAAATATTTGGGCTGCGTCGTGTGCTGATTGATGGATGCATGTATATACATGAACCTTAATTGGCCAGTAATTTTTAAATAGAAAATAATTGAGTAATTAGTTATTTGTATATTTTAAATATTTAATTTCCTTGCTCATATTATTCTATTCATATGAAGATATGAATCAAATTACACTAAATCTACAAATAATTCCATCACTGATGGGCTGATGGTTTCGTTATGACACAAGGGTAGTCTGGATTGAAGATATATAAATAGTGCGTCTAAACGGCGAGTTTCATTTTATGAAATATTTGTAGTTTTATCTCTATGTGTGTATGGTTTTTCGTTAATTTTATTGTCTATATTGTGGGATTTGTTTACGTCCAGGTCGAATTATGAAAGTCCTGTTTATTCGATATTTCTTTAAGCTGAATTAAGAAGACACATTATTATTAATTTGTAATATTTTATAAAATGGTGATGAGTATTCAAATAAGTATTTAAAATATTGAAAAGACTAATAAAGAAAGTGATTATGGTTAAATCACGAATGGCAAAAACCGCCACAAATGAAACAAATATAAATAAATAATTAAATTGAATAAATAAAGCACATTAATAAACTAATAAAATGAAAACAAAATAATGAAATTGAAAAAATAAAACAAATTATTTAATAAATCAATAAAATGAAATAAAAATATTGAAATAAATTAAATGAACATAATAACTTAAATAAAATAACTAAATAAATGCAGGTAAATTCAGGTGATGCAGAAGGGTGTAGATGGTAAAGGAAGTATAGGTGATGAAGGAGGGTATAGGTGATATAGGAAGTAAATGTGATGTACATATGCAGGAGGGTATATGTGGTATAGGAAGTATAAGTGATGTAGGGGGATATAGATGGTATATGAAGTACAGGTGTGTAGGAGGATATAGTTAATAAAGCTGATGTAGGAGAGTAAGTGGTATAAGAAGTATAGGTGGTATAAGAAGTATAGATGACGTATGAGGGTATAGGTGGGTTAGGACGTAAAGGTGATGTATGAGGATATAGGTGGCATAGAAAGTAAAGGTGACGTAGGAAGGTATATAAAGTAAAGGTGACGTAGGATGGTGTATGTGTTGTAAGAGGGTATATATGATGTAGGAGGGTATAGGTGATGTAAGAGGGTATAGATGATGTAGGAGGGTAGATGTGGTAGAGGAAGTAAAGGTAACGTATGAAGGTATAGGAAGTATAGGTGAGGGTATAGTTGGTGTAAGAGGGTATAGATGATGTAGGAGGGTACATGTGAAGTAAATGTGATGTAGGAGGATATATTTATTTAAGGTGATGTATGAGGGTATAGGTGGTTATAGGAAGTTTATGTGATGTAGGAGGGTATAGATAGTATATGAAGTAAAGGTGCTGTAGAAGGGTTATGGTGGTATTGTAGGTAAAGGTGATGTAGGTGGGTATAGGTTGTATAGGAAGTACGGGTGGTGTAAGCGGGTAGAAATAATGTATGATGGTATAGGTGGTATAGGACGTATAGGTGATGAAGGAGGACATAGTTATTTAAGGTGATGTAGGAGGTTATAGGTGGTGTAGGTCGTATAGGTGATGTAGGAGGGTATAGGTGGAATAGGAAGTAAATGTGATGTAGGAGGGCAAAGAGGGTATAGAAAGTATAGATGATTTAGGAGGGCAAAGAGGATATAGGACGTATAGGTGATGTAGAAGGGTATATGTGGTATATGTGTGCAAGTATATGTCATGTAAATTTATTCAATCAAATATTGTTACCTGTGTCTTACTGCCTACAATGATGCATGTATCTTTAACTGCCTATATAGTGAGGTGTATGTTTATATTTTTTCTTATAAATTAGCATTTCTCTGTAAACGTATCTGGATTTAACAAACCAACACAAACTTTCTCCAATAGCATGGACTAGTCTCTGCTATCAAACGCTATTTAAGAAAATATGATTTCCTGATACAAAGACCTTACCAGCCTACTACACCTCTCTTGTTTGATATATTTTTTTAAGAGTAAATTGATAATTGCATCCATTTGGCGAGTTTCAGCTAACAAATGTCTTCCTTTATAACAAAATTGATATACAGAACATTTATATTGCATGGACTGAAAACGTGACTGCCTCTCCATAGTTAGATTCACCAGATATGTTTGAAAGCTCTTTAAGCATCAAAGTATATAGAGTCATTCAGATTTCTTGCAAACTACAGCCATAGCAATTAAGAAGAAAATACTTGACAATTATCATATAAGATCTTATCTCGTCACTTAAAGTTAAACTAGCTATTGATGTGACAAAGGGAGAATTTGTATGTGTATGATAACTTTGAGAACATGAAAGTCATAGTAAGATTGACCAGATATGTTTAAAACTATTTAAACATCGAAGCATATAGATGTCATTCAGACCTCTTGCAAACTACAGCCGTAACAACCACATTAAGAAGAAAATAGTTGACAATTACCTTATTAGATCTTATTTTCGTTCTATTGATGCAACAAGAGTGTGTTTTTATGCAAGATAAATTTGAGAACATGAAAGACTGTTTATTTTCCAAACCTC